TTCCGCGCAAAACATAAACTGACGATAATATTACATTAATATCATTACAATTTCCCTGCGTGTAACGTAATACATATTGCATGTAACAGTTTCATTGTTAAGTAGAAAATTATACGTTTCTGATAATTTGTGTTCTGCGGATCAATTATGTATGAAAGATGAAAAATGGCTCATATAATGAAAATCTTTCTATTTATTCGAGGATTATTAGGAGAGTTATTACATAATATCGGCGTTATGCGTATGATTATTTTAGTGTTCCAAACGCGAACACAATTAGTTACATAACTGCGTCCCGTCAAAGAACACGTGTAAACCATTATTTTAAAATATTACAATACAAAGCTCACACGTATCGTAATTAACAAACCGATGTATCACAAATGCTAATAATTAAATACCGCGGGTTCTACTTGAGTTTAATAATCTATTGTATATCTATCGAAAAGAGAAGACAATTATCTCCTAATTTAGCATGCCGTATTCAACTGTATATTGTGCCATTATTGGAACGAGAATTTATTCATTTGTCATTTTAAATGCATTACTACTCTCCGTATATATTAACGAAATAAATTGTAATAAGATATTAATTAGCGTAAAAAATTATTAAAAATTTAAATACTTACCTTCATAAAATCTTTACTTTTTAGTAACCACGATTATTCAATACTTAAAAATTATTATGTACAATGCAAAGAATGCTGTATTAATAATAGTACCACTGGTGTTACAGAGATTGTCTTGATATATTGAAACTTCACACGATTTAGAGCGATTTAATTTTCCCTCTGCCGAAGACCAGACGCCTTGATCGTTCAAAGCGTTGCGAGGTATTATCAGGGCTGCGAGTACGTCGATGGGCACTATGCCTAGTCGCCCAGACATAAGGTATTTCAAGCACTACGTACTGGCAATAAGATATTCGAAGACGAATAGCCAAAGACGAGTGACGTTTGACTCTCGAGAGAAAAAGAGACGATATATCTACCGACACATCAACTAAAATAATAAACGGTAACATAGTTCTGACATTCCAATTTGTAAGGATAAGGCATTTAGTACAAATATGAATAATAGAACTTCTGTATATGAATTAACATTAGTTTTGTGTGTGTGTGTGTGTGTGTGTGTGTGTGTGTGTGTGTGTGTGTGTGTGTGTGTGTGTGTAAATGTGTGTACATATGTGCGCCCCTCTGCACAAGCTATTATTAACATTACAGAATACAGATGATATGTGGCAAATGAAAATTTATCCTATCGTCCTCAACGTTCGCGAAAAATGCACAGGATCGCACAATATATAACAATAATAATTATCAATTAAATAATTAATATTAAAATAATACATAATTTAGTATGATTACAAATAAAATATTTGGGGACAAGTAGATTATTTTTGTGACAAGTTTCCATTCATTGATTTTTTTCAGCTTTAAAGATAATTTTATATTACTATTAACTCCAGAATACTAGTATGTTCGATATATAAATTTTACATGAGCAAATGAGCAAAGTCATTGAACGCTAAACTGTGTCTTCAGTCATTATTTATAGGCCATTAGAACGTCTGTAACAGTCCAGTCTACCATAGTAAAAGCTAAAACAAATGAAGATAACTTATAAAAATTCTATCTTATATAATTTGAATCTCTTGATAGTCAGTATTATATTTAACAGAAAGTGATAAGTAATTTCAACTTTTAAACAGCTTTATACATGTTATTTAAGCGTTATAGGTAGGTCTAAGGAGATACATACTAACATAACAGTAAATGTAATAAATAAAAAGAAACAGAACTTAAGGTCTTAAAGTTTATAGTATTTTTTCTAAAACTATAATATATATTTTTTATATTTAAAATACTTAAAAGTATTATTATAATTTTCTCATAACTTCTGACATTTATAATAATATGTGATATAGCAATAAAGTTTCGTAAATGTTACGAGAAAATAAACACGACTAAACTAATATACTAATAAATGACTTTTATCGTTCTTCAAAGTAATTCCCTCTAAAGATAGTACACTTTAGACAAGATTCATGTAATTCGCGGAAACTCTGTGAAAAGTCATCTTTGAATATCACCTTATGTCTCGTTATTACACATTCTCAAATAAAATAGAAATCAAAATAATATCATAAGAATATTATCATGACTTCATTTGTTATGAGTTTATTTTTAAGTTTATTTTTTTATATATCAAATGATGTTATAATGACATCATTTGATATATAAAATGTCCTATGATATGACTAATTAATTATGAATAATTAATATTTGGCTCTGTATTCTATATCTGGAGTCCTCATTAAAAACATGTACAGCAATTTTTGCAGCAGATTTTTTTTGCTTCTTAAAGGAAGTGATAAAAGGGATTTAATTTACAAACATTTTGGAACTTAAAATCATGTAACAACAAGACTTAAAACAATATTCAAAGATGTCTTTTCACAATTTCCTCCAGCTTATCAGAAATGATGATGATTATCAGAAATGTATTGTTTCTAAAGGGGATTACTTTGAAGGATAATAAAGATCATTTGTATATTAATTAAATGGTGTTTATCTTCTCGTAACATACACTAAACTTTATTACTGCGCCACATATATGAAGATGTATTATACAATAATAATCATTTTGTAGATATCTTTTAATGCAATTTACAAGATTGAAGACAAAACATGTTAATTCGCGAATACCAATAAATATAAAATATTTTATATCCCGAAATTTTCATTTTTCTTTGTAATATTAATTAAAATATTTTTCAATATGTATCCCTTTATTTTTTATTATATATAAATTAAAAAATATTTTAATAATCAATA